CTAAAAAGTTTCTCCCATCAAAGCCTTTTGTGGTGATCAAAAAGGATAATAATCGATTGGTTGATAAGGTCAGATGGATATGGCAGATTGAGTAGAACAGCCCGATCGAATTCCAAAATGTTTTCCTCTACTATTCCTGTTCCCTTTGCATTTTCATAGAAGAGGACAACATTTTTCTTTTCATCCACTGTATACGTTGCCATTGCCATGCAAAAACTAAGATAAGTATTTTAATATACTCCAAACTTATTCTTAAGTACCGCGTATCATTAGTAATTACGATGATGCATTTGTCATTACAACTGGTTCCCAAAATTGGAAATTACTTATGACTAAATCTAATAACCCCTATATTTTTTTATTTTTATTTTTTTATTGTTTGTCTGATTGATTCGGTTTCTACGGCTTGTCAACATTTTGCAAGTTATTTAAAGCCAGAAAATATTTTTACATTGTAAGATTTTTTTTTTTAGATAATAATGATTTTGGTGATACAACTCTTACTAATTAACCCATAGCTGGGGGAGGAGGGGTGGATTCATGGCATGACAGTTTCTATACATTTCTATTCCAGAGAATGAAAATAAATCTTAAAGACATGCCTGTGTAGCTGATCAGTATTTCATTGATTGATTGATTCGTTATCTATGGCTTATCAACATACAAGAAATTATAATGTGGATATAAAGTGGAGGATTAATTCTACATTACAGTCAATATATAAACTGATCCCTCACTTTGTGGCAGTTGTAGTTTCTATACATTTATATTCCAGAGAATGTAAATAAATCTAAAAGACATTCCTGTTTAGCTCATCAGTATTTCATTGATTGATTCATTCGTTTTCTATGGCTTATCAACAAACAAGAAATTATAATGGGGATATAAAGTGGGGGATCAATTCTACATTACAATCACTATATAATATAATCCCTCACTTTGTGTCCGCGGTAGTTTCAATACATTTATATTCCAGAGAATGTAAATAAATCTAAAAGACATGCCTGTTTAGCTCATCAGTATTTCATTGATTGATTGATTCGTTTTGTATGGCTTATCGACAAACAAGAAATTATAATGTGGATATAAAGTGGGGGATCAATTCTACATTACAATCACTATATAATATAATCCCTCACTTTGTGTCCGCGGTAGTTTCAATACATTTATATTCCAGAGAATGTAAATAAATCTAAAAGACATGCCTGTTCAGCTCATCAGTATTTCATTGATTGATTGATTCGTTTTGTATGGCTTATCAACAAACAAGAAATTATAATGTGGATATAAAGTGGGGGATCAATTCTACATTACAATCACTATATAATATAATCCCTCACTTTGTGTCCGCGGTAGTTTCAATACATTTATATTCCAGAGAATGTAAATAAATCTAAAAGACATTCCTGTGTAGCCAATCAGTATTTCATTGATTGATTCACTTTCTTTGGCATAACAACCATTTGCAGGTTATTTAAAAAGCCATAAAATATTTTCACATTGCAAGATTCCTTTTAGATAATAATGGTTTTAGTGATACAAGTCTTACTAATTAATCCATAGCTGGGGGGGAGGTAGATTCATAACTTTCCCTGGGTTATTTGCGCGTACGTGAATATAACGAACTCAACTGGAATTGGAACTCGGTTTGTACGATCACCGAAGTTCAGCAACGTCGAACCCGGTCAGTAACTAGATGGGCGACCGTTTGGGAATACCATGTGTTGTAAGCTTGGATGTGTGGGTGGTGTAAAAAATAATGGCTCGGGATTGTTAATCGAAGAGCCGAGCTCCAATTCCTGTTGCGTTCGTTATATATACCCTTGGAAAATAGGTATGAATCCACCTCTTCTTTTGGGGTTAATTAGGAATACTTATGTCACTAAACCATTATTATTTCTCCCCGACCCAAATTCTTACAATCTAAAAATATTTTCTGGCTTTAAATAACCTACAAAGGGTTGATAAGCCGTAAAAAAGGAATCAATCAATCAATCAATCAATCAATCACTGATTAACTACACAGGCAGGTATTTTACATTTATTTACATTCTCTGGGATATAAATGTATAGAAACTGCCGTGACCACAAAGTGAGGGATCTGTTTTTATATGGATTGTAATATAGAATTGACCCCCCGACTTTATTATCCATATTAAAATTTCTTGTTTGTTTTGCAGATTCTGATTAGGTATGAATCCACCTCTTCTCTTCCAAGCTAAGACTTATATCACTAAAATCATTATTATCTCAAAAAAATCTTTCAATGTAAAATATTGTCTGGCTTTAAATAACCTACAATGGGTTGACAAACCGTAAAAAACAAACCAATAAAACGATCCCCTTGAATAAAATTCCATATGTTTTCATGTGAAAAGGTTTTTGAATCTGCTTTTCATTAGAGAAATTTTCCCTGTGACAGTGTTTTACTTAAAAAGGTAATAATCGAAAAAGGTAATAATAGAAAAAGGTAATAATCGAAAAAGGTAATAATAGAAAAAGGTAATAATCGAAAAAGGTAATAAACGAAAAAGGTAATAAACGAAAAAGGTAAAAGGTAATAATAGAAAAAGGTAATAATCGAAAAGGGTAATAAACGAAAAAGGTAATAAACGAAAAAAATAATAATAGAAAAAGGTAATATTAGAAAAAGGTGATAAACGAAAAAGGTAATAACCGAAAAAGGTAATAGAAAAAGGTAATAATCGGTTGGTGCAAGCTCAGGTGAATATGGCGGATGGTGTGGGTGGGGGAGGGGGTAACAAACCAGCCGAGATTCACACGTTTCTTTGTTATTATTGCTGTATGTTGCTTTGCGTTTTCATGCCGGATGACAATATGTTTACTTTAATGCCTAGTGTACACTGCTACTATCGTGCAAAAATTACTTTTAGTTTTAGTGTACCCCGCTTGCTCTTAGTTACGTAGGTGACTCTTGGGACAACGTCTGCCAGCTCTTCCTTTCGACTTTTTCTCCTATCAACTCTCCGCCCATCTCAGAATCACAGCGCGTGTCTGGCAAAACGAACGGGTGACATCGAAATCGAATCTGCCCTATTGCCAAAAACGAACCTGGACTGGGCTCTTCAATTCCAACGACCGGAACTCAGTGTCCGGCCTGTTGTCGCTTGATCTCAAAAACTCTCATTTACTTATTTTTTTATTCTGTTCCTTTTTAGCCAAATGACTCGATTTCAAAGACGCCATCCGCCAGTCATAAAACAGGATCACCTGAGATCAAGATGAAAACATTCCTATTCTACATGGATGTCACAAGGATAGTGTAACAGCACTGTATATTTTGAAAATCAGCATTCGAATGCCTGGCTTTTATTTGAACCTGAAACTCAAGCGTTGTTGGTAAATACGTACCTATCGAAACAGATGAAGCAAGTCAATATTTCTGAAGTTTAGCTACAAGTTTGGAGCATCCAAATGAGGAACTTTTCTATCATTGCCAAATATTGTTAAACTTGCGAATATTAATAATGCAAAAAAATAACCCCAACTCTTGGTAGTCATATTTCTAGTAAGTCTAGCGCGTACCTGTGTAATAGTGGCTTATGGGGGCAATTTCTGGTTTCTTTGGCACAAAATATTTGATTTGAAAAAAATACATTTTACCTGAGTGTCACACACACACACACACACACATACACACACACACTTTTTGGGCCTGTCATGGAATTAACCGTTAATAATCGTATATTTTAATTTTTATTGTTTAGTAAAATCTATGACAAAACGGAAATGTTTGTCGTGTGATGCGTTTTGTCCTTTAGGACTTCATCGAACTTTTTTACGTCGGTTTTGTTTTATACATGGTCGTGAAGAAAAGCTAACCCGGAATAATTTTAAAAAATGTGTTTTTGTGGGTATATAGTTTAGCCCATTTCATTTGGTTTATTTTTCTTTTTGTTTGTCTTTATCACAGTTGTTAAATATCCTGCATTGTGATAATAGATCTAACAAGAAAGATTAAACGTTGTAAGAAGCTGGAAGTAAATTTACTGTAGATGATCTAGCGATTAAAGCACTTTCTATACATTTTCGTATTAGTAAATTCTCTTTTAATTAGAGTGACATTTTTTTAAATCAAAATTATGGTCAGACTCATTATAGTAAGCGACGAATGCATTTAGTGTGTTGATTTTTAAAAGACCCTCTTTATATTTATATAATCTTTTATTTAAATTCCTCGAGGTTTCTCCTATATATTCCTTGTGGCAATTATTACAGGTGATCGAGTAAATTCCTCCTTCAAGTTTTAGCTTATTATTTCGTTTTGCATTAATTAAGTCATTTATTGTTTTAGAAGTAGTTCTAACAATTTTTATGTTAGCTTAGATGAATTCTTTTCAGTTGTAGTTGTGATGGAGTTGTATATTTTGATTCGTTGGGTATATCAGGAAGGTTAGTTTTCTTTTACTATTTTGTAATATTTTATGAGCTTTTTGTTTCGCGTTGAATATGAAATAATTAGGGTATTTTATTGTATTTCAAGGGTCCGTTTTTTATAATCGTTACGAAAGGCAATGTTGGGGAGAAGAGATATAGAGAGTGTGGGGGTAGCAGACAGACAGAGTTGAGAAAGAGAGAATGTGTGTGCGAAAGAAATAGAGAGAGGAGGGAGGGCGATAAACAGAGAGAGAAAGAGAGTGCCAAACAAAAAGAGAGGGGGAAAAAGAGATAATCAGATAGACAGTGAAGAAGAGAGAGAAGGTGAAAAAGAAGGAGCGAGAGAGAAGGAGAAAGACAGATAGAGAAATGAGCGAGACATATAGACAGAGAAGGAAAGAGAGAAATGTGAGAGAGGGGGAGCAAGATACAGAAATAGAAGGGGAGAGACAAACAAAGGTAGAAAAAGAGAGAAAAACAATCAAAGGAGGAGAGAGAAAGGATGTGTGAGAGAGGGGGGGACAGAGACTGGATGGGTGAGATAGGAGAGAGAGTGGGTTAGACAGAAGGGGAGAGAGAGGGGGCGTGAGGCAAATACAAACAGGGGCAGAGAGAGAGAGAAAGAGAGTCTGATAGAAAAGGTGTGAGATAGAAGGTGAAAGAGAGAGCAGGAGAGAGAGAGAAAAACAGAGAGAGAGAGAGAGAGAGAACTAAAAAAATAAAGAAACATTAATACAAAGAATAGAGTAAAAGCTTTTTAACCAAATATGTTCTCTTATGTGCTATATACCTTTACGGCAATCGGCGATCATTGGTCTCCCCGATTTCCTGTCCTTGGTTACTCTAAATAACGTTTGCTCCTTTACAACCCACCTTTATCCTTGTTTTGCCACCCATTCACACAAACTTTTGCAGTAGACTACTCAGTGTTTTCACCTGATTTTCTTTCTCTCACTATGTCCTGTGAGTGTTAAATTCTTTAGACCTTCTTTCCTCATTATGTTTTCCGGGAATTTCACCTGCCTCTTTCTGATTCCTGTTTCGCTTAAAACTTCCACATTGCTCGCATATTATTGTATTCTCAGTATTTGTCAGTAAACGATATCTCTGCCGCTTCAAGTCTCTTCATCTGTGAGGAAATTGTCAACCATTCACTGTCATATAAGAGATTAGATTTTATGCAACTGTACTTGCCTCTTGTAGTCTGTTTCTTCTGGTTACGTAATCAGCTTTCTTTAGGCAACAGAGGAGATCTACGAACTGAAGTTGAACAATCTGCAAACACCGACCGTAACACTTGTCTCCTGTCTGCTACACCAGTCACACCTCATCTCTCCGTCGCCTCTTTTTATGCACTTTTTATAACTTGATATCAATCAAAATTAAAAAGTTAAAATTTACATATGTTTAAAGAGATTTGTGAAGCGAAGCCGAAAATAAACAGCAAGAAAGTCAAACACCAAATGACAAAAAATGGCTTCTGAGTTGAAGGATTCGTGCATCCTTCCGGTTAATAAATTAATCCTTTGAAAATAAATATTTAGCATTTTTCAATCAACGGGTCGCTTTCCCGACGACAATAAAAAAAAAAAACAAAAAAAAAACATGCTTCTTGATCCCTTTGAAGAGTATTTTAGCAAATTTTCTAAACATGACAAGCCAGTAAAGAGAAAGGGCGGCTGCATACGGCAAACAACTCACGACGGCTCGGCTTTTTTTTACTCATTCACCAGTCTTCCTTACCCAGCTACGTGACACTTATACTTTCCTCCTCACTTTCTCCCTTGCCTCTTTTTCTCACCCATACATGTTAAGTAATCACTTTTTTTCATCTTAACAAACAACTGTAAATAGGAACTGTAAAAACTTATACGCACTAAGAAAAAATATTTCGTTATAAAAACACGAATATAAAAATATTTTATATTCAAACACATTTCTTGTCTTTTTCTTTGTTGTGGGTTAATTCAAATCCGCAACCGATTCTCGCGAGAGTCGATCTGACTCCAAGATCTATCTGTGTGAAATGTGTAACTTTTGAAGCTGCCATTTTCTTTTTTGGATATCTTATATACGAGACACTTCCAAATCCATTTTTTTTTGTCCTGGAGGTAAGCCGTTTTCTCTAATATTAAAATTTCAAGTGTTTCTTAGATTATTCATTTGTTTCTTTTCACTGGTCGCACAAAGTTTTTGGCTGATTCATTTTATGGCCTTACTTCAATTTAAAAGCTGGATAGAAAACAAAATGGAGCCAAACATACAAACTGGCTACTGATGTACTGTTTAAACTACCCCTATACTAAACGTCTTCAAAGCCTGATGTACGATGGCATTTTAATCCAGTCTTTTCTCTCTCCTACTAAAACTGTTGAATTGAAAACATACAACGCAACTTTCGCCCAAGCTTTCCACCGATCGGCCAATGATTATCACTTCGCGTTCCATTTCAATCCTCGATTTCTTTGGTGCGCACCACAAACTGGGAAAGGGCCCGCTGCACGCTCACAAGGTAACAAGATGCAAAACCAACGCTATGTAAAGAAATAAGAATGCAAACCATGTTTTCCTTAGCATTCAGAGCTTTTCCTGTTCGTCTGAATAGGTAGGTAGATGATACTTGTGACAACTTCTGCTATGTCAACTCTTCCCCACAACCAACTCCTCACACATCATCTCTCTGTTGCCTCGTTATGCACTTTTTATAGTTTGATTGACACTTAAAATGTACATATGTTAAAAGATTCTCGCGAGACTCTATCCAACTCCGAGATTATTCTGTGTTAAATGTCTTGTGAAGCTACCATTTTCTTTTTTGAAAACTTTACATGCGATACCTTAATACTTTGCTTAGTTTCTGGAAATCCTATTCCAATACGCCTACAGATTTTTGTGCCACATTTTCCGTCGTCTGATACTACACCACTAAAAAAAGAATAAACTAAAATGAAATAAAATAGAAAGAAAAGGAGAAACTATTAAGAAAAGAGGAAAAAATTCTTTGTCCTCTTTGAATAGATGTCAATTATAATAAAATAAAAATAAAGAAAACATGGGTATGCCTGATAAATAAATCATTTGTATTTACAAACATATGTACATGAATTCAAAAGAATCAAATAGGTGTCAAAATTTGTCTTTGATACACAGAAAATCTGTAGTTTAGTGTTTGATACACAGAAAATCTGTAGTTTAGAAAAGACTTTTAGTAGTCGGTTCATCTGTGAACAAAAAAATAAAAATCTGTGAATGGGAAGACTTTGATCGTCAGTGAATATTCACTGACCGTCTCTGCTGATATTGTTGGAGACAATTTGCTTGAAGTCGCTGACACATGCTTCTTTCAGCGCTCACTAGGGGAAGTAAGTAACCACCTCTTCTCTTATGTTTGAACACCGTGAAAACAGTTGCATTTCTGCTATGAAAGTTGAAGTATGTGAACTTTTAAAAGAAATTTTTCCCGAAAGTAGGCTCGAGAAAAATAGGTTTCTAGTTTTCTCTGATTGGTTAAATATTTCACATAGTGATGTTAATTTCTAACCAATAGACATTTTGATTTAAACGGTGTGTGTTATATTGTGGAATATTTTCGACATGTTTGTAAATATTGACTGTTATTGGGTAAAAAAGAAAATTTGGGCGTGTTTTAATATGGTATACATGTGGATATGTAATTGTGTTGGAAATAGGGTTTATTTCCTATAAGAATTTATTATTCAAGTACATAATTGTTTTTAACAACTGTTTGCCATTGTTCTAAAATCTTGTTGATGCCATTTTCGTAGAAACTTCATATTTTTTGTTGGAAGAAAGTTGTGAGGTAGTTTTCGACGGACTGTACTGGGTCAAAATTCTTATCATTTAAATTGTTTTATAGAATGACAATGTGAATGAGCCGGGCCAGGAGAATATGTTTGGTGCTGGAAGGTTTTCCATTTTAACTCAAAGTTTTTGCAACGCCTGTTTTGCAACATGAGGTCTTGCGTTATCGTGGTAGAAAATGACACCTTTTTGATTTGCCCAGATCGGCTATTTTTCTTGAACCAAGTCTCAAAGTCTCTTCAAATGTCGAAAGGCAGTTGAGATGAAATCGCTTCTGTCAAAAGCTTCAATTTATTCTCCATGTCGGCGTCGGGAGGTTGCCCGGAGCGTTGTTGATCGTTTGGGTTAAAATTACCCCGATTAAATCTGCCAAAGTACTTTTTGACCGTCCGAATACTAGGCATCTATACAATAATACTGTATAAGTCAACTATACCATGATGTTTTGCGCATTCAAAACGTCATGGTATAGATGACTTGTATTGTGTAAGAGCCTTCTCGCCCGGTGAAATACAACGATTCACTCTGTCATCGATTTCGCAAGTGGTCGGACGATATGTGGAGCCTTTCCGTCTTGATTGATTGAGTTGTTCTTTTTACGGCTTATCAACCCTTTGTGGGTTATTTATAAAACCGAATCATACAAAGTCAGTTCAAAAGTATCGGAACTGTTGCTATGGTAACGGAGCTAAAGTAAGCAGAAGATTTCACGGCTCTAGCATCATCCCTTCATGATCATCATAATTGGCTGGCCACTCCTATTTGAGGATACCCGTCTACTAGGGCAGCTAGCCAATCCCCGTTGCAGACGCCTGCTCAAGCACATCTGTGTTTGTTCAACATCCACATTATACTGCAATTATGCTGAGTGGACCATAGTTACAGTTTCTGGGAAAGAGCCATTATCTAGTGTCATCAACAGTTTGAACAAGGCTGGCACACTCAAACCCTCGGTCACGGTGACTTGTGACTTTGTGCTAGCACAACTATTGACGGCTTCCAAAGATCTCTGTCTATTCAATTTCACTCACATGGCTTGGATCAACCGGTGGTATATTTTTCATGCACTTTCTAAAGGCGCTGCACACTGTGAACGCCTCCCCCAGATTGATAAAATCAAGGTCAACTTCCTGACAAATCAATCATGGTGAGATTTGAACCTGGGTCTTGTGATCAGAAAGGGAATGTTCTAATCACTTAGCCACATGCCCATTTATTTATTACCCATTTTATTGCTTAAATATTATTTTTAGTGGATACTCATATTTGAGTAGACTCTCTTTATTTATTAAACAGTATATTTATTTATTTATTTTCGCCTACCTGTTTGAATATTCAAGAAATCTTAGTGAAAAATATGTGCTTTACAGCGAAAGCAGTTCCTCACTATACATTGGGGAGACATGCAGAACTTTAAAAAAAACCTATGTATGGACACAAAGGGGCCTTATATGTAACAATTTATGAAATGCACTAGTCCTGCACAGAAATAAATTCAACCACAATTTTTATCTAAAAAATACCACCTTCAACAGAGAAAATAATTGATTCAGAAAGGTTCTCGAGAGTGCTGTTATTGAATCTCATCAGAATATAAATCTACAGCCCTGTTTATTTCTAATGTCACTTTTCCGGAAAAAATTACTACTTCCCCAAACCAACATACACGACCACAAATATGTTGAAAAATAAAAATAAAATGATTAAATCCATTCCCTGTTTTTGAAGTTTTTAAATCCATTACCTGTTTTTTGCACAACACATACGCCTGTCCCAGACCATGACAACTCTATCACAGTTTAAAAAATATTCATTTAATAAAAAAAATAAATATGTATATTTCTTGAATACCATTCGCTTACTTCTTACCAGATTTTGAATTATGTCATCTTGTTTCCTCCACATGTT